CCCCGAGAGGGGTAATCCTTCATAAGTGAAGCATCACCCTTGAAAAGATAACACGAGCCTAGGCTTGGTCATTAGGGGCACGACCCCGAGAGGGTTAAGCTTTCGAAAGTGAAACACCACCCTCGAAAAGATAGCACGTGCCTAGAGTTTGACCGGTAGGGCACGACCCTAAGAGAGGTAATCCTTCACAAGTGAAGCACCGCCCTTGAAAAGATAACACAAGCTTAAGGCTCGATCATTAAGGGAACGATCCCAAGAGGGGTAAGCCTTCGCAAATGAAGCACCGCCCTCAAAAAGATAACGCAAGCCTAGGGTTCTGTTGTTCGGGGCATGACTCTAAGAGGGATAAGCCTTCCAAAATGAAACACTGCCCTCAAAAAGATAACATGAGCCTAGGGCTTAGTCATTAGGGGCACAACCCCAAGAGGGGTAAGCCTTCACAAGTGAAGCATTGCCCTCAAAAAATAAAACAGGCCTAGGGCTCAATTGTTAGGGGCATGGACCTGAGAGGGATAAGCCTTCGCAAATGGAGCACCAACCTTGGAAGGTCATTGGAAGACTTGTGACTATAATGGAGGAAAATTTAGCTGAAGCACAAATAACATTAAAAATTTAGGGATTTTGCGTCCCCAGAGCAATAGGACAGAAACAAAAGAAATCATCCATATCAGGGTCACAAATTTTTTCAATTTTTGGCATCACCTCCTCAGCCATTGCCACCGACAACACCACCTTGCCTCCTTTTAGCACGCTCTCCTCCTCGAGGTCAGAGAGCGGATCCTCTATCTTCTCGAACTCACCCAGATTTGGGTTGACATCAGAAGTGTCAAGAACAACAGGGTCACTAGGATGAATAGGAAGCACATGAGAAGAAAGCTACAGGGGAGACATCACATTGTCATCTGAATCCCCATCACTTAGCAGGATTGACTTATTGTCTGCTCCTACATCCTCTGTCAGATTCTTTGTTGCCACATCTTACTGCCTAGCTGCTGCCACATCTTGATGACCTTTCTGAGGGGCCATGACCTCACTAACCACTTGCTAGGGAACGTAGGGGTTCCTTGAGAAAAGCTCGGAGTCAACATTCACCCCTATGGCCTGCAGCACCTTATCCCTTCCCTTCTTGAAGTACTTGTTTTGACCATCAGTAAAGGCTAGGATGAATTGTTATTGAAATTTGGTAGAAGACCTCAAGGTGAATGTTGTTTTCTCTCTCCTCACTCCTGGCTTGTTCCTTTACCAGGCCCTCGACCTTAGAAGTCAAGGCTGCATAAATAGCCTCAGCCTCTAACAGTTTGGGCTCTGCTATAAGTCCAAGGGGTTATGGGTTTTTTCTACGAATTGGGGCCTTCTGAGATCTTGAGCTCGGCCTCATTCATTGTGATACCCCATATAAAAATAATAATAATAATAATTAAACACCTAATGAAATCAAATGGAGAGAGTTTTAACTTTTTCCTAAGATAGAGTGTCGATTATGGTGTGGAACCCAAAGTGACTAGGAGTGAACTAAGTAATCATATATAACTCCTTTAATTTCTATTTGATTGACTGATAATATGTAGATAATTGGAATGAGAAATTTTAGGGCCACAACCTATTTTATTGCACTAAATGAGGTTAATGGTATACCATGTGGGTGAGTGCACGTGAATATTACAAGTTTATATTATAATAGGAGTGTTTTGATAGCTTATGAGTAATACTAGATTACTTTTGGTTTCTATAGAATAGAATTGCTAGTCTGGGAAACCCTTTAGAAGTGACAGATACAAGAGAGAGAGAGAGAGAGAGAGAGAGAGAGAGAGAGAGAGAGAGAGAGAGACGTGCTTTGGTAATATAAGGTGTGAATTATGAATCACAAAAGGTAGAATCGTGAGAATATTAGACTTGACTGAAAGATACAAGGCTAAATTTTGTTCAATGGTAGTAAAGTATTGGGATCCTTGTCTTCGTCAACATCGAATTAGGTAAGTAGTTTATCTCATAATATACATCCATGTCTAAATCTCTTTGAAAAAAATCCTTTTATTATTATCGTCATTGTATTCTGATTCAATGTTTAACTGTTGATTTGTGATGTTCGTTTGAGTTTTCGTTTGATGATTCTTTGTATTTATTTGTGCAAAAAGTATTTTTGATGGTGAAGTGCTTGGAGAGCTATTGGCACATGTGTTAGGTGCACTCGGTGGCATGGTTTGATATTGATATGTGATTGTGGCCCCAAGGGGCGTGTGATAGAATAAGATGTACCAAGTAGCGCCTAGTATGTAGCGAGACGAACCGGGTATGAAGCCATGGGTGAATTAAAAAGATTCGAATATGGAGTTTCATATGCTTTTATTAATTGTGTTAAAGATAAATATTCTATTTATCTCATGCTTCTGTGGTTGATCGTTGGATTATCGTGTGGTCTTCTAATTCCGTGTATTATGTTGTAAATTATTTACTGGGCCTCCCAAGTCCTCCCAAGTCCACCCTCATTTACCCCTCTCAGATGCAAGTTGAAAATTTATTCAAAGTCGATAGATGATCTGATCGATTGAAGATTTAGAGACTTCGAATTATTAATTCATTGATGAAATATCATAATTTTGAGAGTAGTTTGAACCATTGTAATTATTTCTAAAGATTGATAAATTCTATTTTTATTGATTGAGGATTTTAGTGCTTTGTATGGATTGAAATTGATGGTAATTAAGTTTGCGTACCGAATCCATGGGAATCGGGTTCGGGACGTGACATTCATCCTTTTCTCTGCCTCGACCTCTACAACTTAACTCTTCTTCAACTAAGAAGAAAGGCCTTCGACACGCTAGATAAGCTCGTGAATGTGCTTCACCTGATCAGCCACTGTCTTTTCCACTTGGCCAATGTGGTGGTCCTTTTTGGTGAGTTAAGACTTGCCTTAGTCGACCTTGGTCCAATAGTCCAAGAAGCAGTCAATAATGACCCCCATTTGTTGACACGCCTGAAAGAATGTGGGAATTAGGTGTTGAGAAAAAGAAAGGAAAAAGATGGGAAAAGAGGTAGTATCCAAACAAAACTTCAACTTACCACCAGATTGTGCTAGATTACCCCCTGAAGGAGACGACTATCGGAGTAGTCATGATAAATGGCCATGTCAGCCTCAAAGTGAAGGGACCCATTAACCACCAGGGTCACATCAACCAAGTGAATGATGGAGTTAGTCAACAGGATTGCCTTGTTTTTTCGGGTGACTGCACGGAGGGATCGTGTTGGCGCTTCACCCTGCGCTCGGTGGCAGGGTTGTCTTCCTGCCCTCAGCATTGCTCATGTTGGGCACCGACTTGGTTAGAAGAGGGGATGGCCTGTCTAGAGGGTGGTGAAGGGTCTCGGGGTTGCCGTTTTTGCTACTGTCTCTGTAGTTGTTGCTATTGTTGAAGTTTTATTGGGAGGTGGCAGGGGCTACGGTCCCAGAGGTCCCGACTAGTCCAGAAACAGCCGTCCTCTTGGCTGCTGCAATAGCATCCAATCCCTCGGCAGTAATTTGGGGGAAACGAAACATGGATTCTCAAGGAGTAGGGGATTTAGAAGCAAAAAAGGTGGTCTTGAAGTCACAATTAGAGTTGGCCACTTCCTTTTTGAAAACAGTCTAGCCAAGCAGACAGATCAAAAGGATTAGGAACTTGGGAAAAATGGGTATAGCCCAGCCTGTACCCTAGCAATATGTGAACAGCCAGTGTGAAGGGGTTTTCTCACTAGTACATCCACACTTTTAGGATGTCCTCAAAGCTGACTGAGGATCGAAGTGGCTGCTTGGCGTCCCTCTTAAAACCTTCTACAATAAAGGAAAACGATAAAAGATTAGTACATAACCTATCTCCTAAGTACAAAGGGGGATGACTCAGTAGAAACTGATGCATCTAGCACCCTCATTTCCTTGGGGGCAGTAGAGACCTCCATACTCTGGTCCATCACCTATCTCCCATTTTCCACTGACTATGATGAGATCCCGGGTGTAACCTTTGTCCGAGTTAGGCATATCCGTCACTGAGTACATAGTGGGGTCCTGGGACTTGAGATAGTATTTTGGTTGTTGGCTATCCTCATATCATAATAGAAAAGAATCTCGTCTACCCCGAGAGTGATTCCTAATCGGGCGTTGAGGGCAACTACACTCATCACTATCCTAAATAGGCTCACACAGCACTGTCAAGGAAAAAGCATAAAGTGCATCAGGAACCTTAAGAGAAGGGGGGGCAAGGGGATCTAACGCCTCCCTTGATGATTATCTCAGTGTGGAACAACATAAGGTCGTAAATGGACTTGAAGTCATTCAGATTGGACTCAGTCACTTGAGTTTTCCTAGCCTTCCCCTCATTTCTAGGCCTGTCGACCCTTGGGGTTCTATTTCTACACTCCCTAGCCCTTGGTGTTGCAAAAAGGATAAAAGGAAAGAAGAGATAGAAGAATACGAAGATCTTTAAACAAAGAGTACATACAAGTTTTATAGTTTGCCTAGTCTTGCTAAAGAACCACCGAGAAACCAAACAGTGCAAGGAAAACAATTTCCAAAAGAGTCTCTCACCTTATGATTTCTATTCGTTTATATTATTGAAAGTGGAAACGATTGCCGAAAAAGTAGGGATCATTAATGAAAATTCAAAAATAGGCGGCAAACGTGCAACTTGTAGTCCCAAAAAAATGGACACATGCAGAGGAAGCCTCCATTCTCCTCGTGACACCTGGCCCATGACGTAAAGAAAACAGAGGCTTGGGAGTAGTCGACGGGGCGTTAGTGGGCACCCAACTAGAGTTTGACACGTGATCTCTCATGTTGCTGAAATGCATGCAATTCCCAAGAGTGTTAAGACCAAGCGATTAGGATGCTTAGGGCCGAGAAGCATAACCAGTGTCAAGTATTAAATGACATCGATGTACAAACCTTGAGTGGCACAATGACATGACAAGTCATCATTGACTGTGTATTCCATGAAGAGCTTGAGAGTAGCTATCAAGCTAAGGGGGCATGGCTGTTGTGACTAATGGATAGCCCTCGGGGGATCCCGTGGATGCCCCACCTTGGCTCATAAGTGCACAACAGTAAGCCATGACATCTATGTAGAACACTTGATGGTTGGGGATGGGATCATAAATGCTCGGTCCATTCTAGCATGTAAACCTGGACGTCCGCCCCGCATTAATGAGGTGTGACAGAATAACACTTATTATGCTAGGCAACGAGCACAAACTACTAGAGGTTAGGATTGAAATCTAGATGGGAGAGACATCATTGCAATCCTAGGTATAAATACCCCATGAAAACTGAACTTAGGTATGCAAGCAAGAATAGCTCTATAAATCTCATAGATCTTGTGTCCATAACTAGTACCATGGAAATCATTTAGGCTGGATGATTTCAAGAAGAAATGTCTACAAACAAATTTCTAAAAATCAGCTTCTCTTTTGCACACATTAGAAGATAATCAGCATCAGCCTTGGGTGGCCAAGGCAGATCCAGCTACGAAGTTAGACCAAGTACTTGAACTCACTAGTCTCGGTTGAAATGCAGCCCTGAATGAAAGAAGCATATAGGCACACACACCCAAACATGGTTCGGTTGGAAAATCTAAAACTATATCGGCAGTGAATATATATATATATATATAGTTGAGTTACTGGTTGGCGGGAATAGAGTGGCTGGTTCTTTTTTACTTCCTCCAAGGAACAAAATTTATTTCGAAACAAGGAAAAGGAGTTGATCAACGAAGTGTAGGAGGATTGCCTTTTCTGATGTGCATTCAGTAAAGGAAACTAGCTCTCTGGCAGAAGAGGATAAGCTGATGGCTTGCCCGTTTGCGTTCATGGACTGTTTGATAGGCCTGTTTGTAGGCCGACAATGCTAAACACTCCAAAATTAGTAGTTCATTATGTACACACCATTGGTTCGTTGAGAACATTTCCAGTCTAGGTGCTACAATTTCTTCAGTCGTTTTTCTTCTTTTGATTTGAATCTTGGCTAAAAGCAAAAATGAAGCCTCAATAACGAATGGTAATATCCCATGAACTTGTACCACCAGTGGGTATAGTAAAGAAATAATCTTCACTTCTATATTTGAATTCATGTTCTTGAGAGTTCACAGAGCAAAACTTTGGCTTTGGATCGGAATATGCTCCGAAAAGACCAGCTCCTCTTCCCTTGATGACAATTCTACGATTAGAAGAATCTTTAGAAACTTCAACTGCCCGAATAGCTCCTCCAGCATTGTACATATTTATCAATCCAATGGGAGCAAACTTAATCTTCTGATGGTAAACCTGTGAACCTCACCCCGAAAATTTGTTAAGTGGAAGTCCAAGATACATGTATATTATGGGTTACACTATGGCTTACAAGAGGTAAGTGAATAGCGAACCTTAATGGGAGACACAGTAAACACATCACATTGCAATGTGTTCAACGTGATCGTGAACGATTCTTGCACTGGTAGCCGAGACAGGGTCCCTGCTGATGTAAAAAAGTAGAATAATGCTAAGGCCGATGAAACAGTACCAAAAGTGTTGTGCAATGTCCATGCTCACAAATAAAATAAACAGGTCTACACTAACATTTTATTCCCATAATCATAATTTATGTAGTCATATAATTAATTACGATTTATGACCAGAGACGCTTTGGACAGCGTGAAGTTACATATCATCTATGAATGTGGTTTTGCAGTATCAACAATACCTGTGTTGAAGGAAAAGACTGCACAATCTCCCATCCATGATTTCCCTGAGACCTCTTCAAAATACTCGATATCAGTAGGAGAGACCTGTCCAGATAGGTCAGAGATAATGTCTCTTTGGACAGTGTTCTCCAGACAAGGCCAGCTTCCTGCTCCTTGGCAATTGAAGACTCCAATAATTCCAGTAAATTCGTTCAGGTTCCAGATCTTCAGCAGACTTTGGTTTTACATATAAAGAGGCTGATTGAGAAATTTTAGAAATCATAATCTTAAAAACCCATTATTTACAATAGAGAAAAATACCTTTTTCCATCCATAACTGGATCATTAAATAAACAATCTCTTGATGGCCTCCCTGGGTATTTTGCCCTCAGCACTGATCCATCAGGCAGTACAAGCCTTCTAAGTATCTTGAAATCATGCTGACTGGGCTTATCACTGTCGTCAGCCATGGTGTATGAAAAATAGTGTTTAGGATGAATCATTTCTAGAAAAAAAATCAGAAAGTGAAAACAACAGTGTTCAGCTAACCATCAATCTGTAAGTGGTACATTGCACCAGCAAAGAAAAATATCAATGATACCATGGTTCGTCATAAATCTTTGAACATGTATGACAGTACAGATGCACACTGTTTACAATGTCCTCGTAGACCCCAAGGTAAAATATAAAAAGTTAACAAAGTAGGATGATGAAGTGGAAAAAGTGTTTCCGTTAGGTTTATGCAGTCTGTCAACTGAACCATTTGAATCAACTGAGATCCAAATAAAAAAAGACCCATTTCAGGACAATCTTTGCCTAAGGAATATAATGTTGCACATTCAAGAGGATATTAAGATTTGTGCAACTGCAATTTTGTTTTTGAGCAGGACAACTGTCCAGGGAAGGCACAGTTGAAAAATAAAAAAGGTAATGTCAAGTATTAGAAGCTTTTCAAAAAGGTAATCTAAAATTGGCAGAATGATACTACTATATGCAGTTAAAGGCAATTTTCAAGGTGAAGGAATGAATGGACAAAAAATGTCAAGAGAATTTGGAGAATTTATAGCATAGGCAAAATAAGCTTACCTAACATAGACTCCACAACCTCCAACTGCTCTAGCAACTGCATGAAACTCAGCTGAATTATGGAGGCTCTGAAAGTTTTTAAAGAAATTACATAGTAGAATTATTAAGCAGTTAGTAAGCATAAAATTAGAGGACCATGTCATACATAGAACATGTCCCAATCTGGGACGACAACTTCACCAAAGAATATGCTGTTATAAGCCACAGCCGCCACATGCACTGTCTGTGTTGTTGGGTTTCCTGGATAGTAATCATCGGACACACGTGTGATAGCACTTCTTTTTGAGCTGCAACAGTAAGTGAGAAACGATGTCATCGTTCTCTTCCCACATTTTGGGCTGAATAAATATTTCACACATGCATAAACCTGTAGAAACTACAATCCATAAACAGAGTACATGCCTACATGCAATGGTACCCTATACTGTTGCATGGGCTAAAAGCTTATATTTGCTTAAATCACATGAAGAATGAAGAAATTAAGGGTAGCTTAAGGTTAGATTCTAAAAATTCCAATAAAAAAATTCACCACATGCTTCTCACATGGAAAGACAATGCGCTGGGCATTAAGTTGTGTGCATTCTATATATATTCTATAGCCATATATACAAACTCTGATGAATGCAGCACACTAATCCCGTATTCTGAATTCCTTCTCTTTTTTTTTTTTTGCTGGGATTCTATGCTTTTGTGTTGACTGGCTTATTGTTTTCTCAAAATGTTAGAAGAATGATACAATTCTCTATTCTTGATCATCCAACTGGATGGACCATTGGAGACCTTTAAATTGTGCTAATCAACTGACAATGATATGGAACCTATGCTACTTGATCCTCAAGCTTTATGAGTTGATTGACAGAGCTGTAATGTTTACCATTGTCAATTCAAATCAATCAGGTCCTTTCTCAGAGCCTTAATGCATTGTCAAGGTTTGATCTGTTGTATAGACTAACTTTTTCAACTGCATACTATGTATTGAACTTGACCAGGAAAATTGGAATTTAGAAGATTAATACTTGTAGATGGAATCCGTGCTCTGACCCATGCAGCAGATTATGCTATTATCTTGGAAATGTGTGCCAATAGACTTTTCAAGAGCTTGTTGGAAATGTCTTGTAAGTGATACCCGGCCTCCCAAACCAATCGCTATAGTTTCCAGTATGTTCTGTACATCAACCTTCACCCCATCCACTTCCTGTGATACAAGGTACCTGTGCAGATCATCATAAAATTCAGATACTTTGGCAGGATCTATTGTGCCAACACCGTACTTTTCCATGGAGTCCATAGATATATCCCTCTTATGTGCAAGATTCCCCGGTGACTGTACGGGGAATTTTAGTTTTGGATTGTACTTTTCAGTTCCTCTGGCATTTGGATGAAGTCCCCCCCAGTATCCCATGAGTGCATGCCATACATAGACATACCTGCAAAAAAGGAATGAGAACAAAACAAAGTTTAACCCCCCCTATTTCTGACAATGGGAATGACAGAATCATATATACCATTACGAGGAGTATCAAGATGGATAGCAGTTCTATTATAATCTCCGTGGCAGAGTGGAGTTAAAAACTGCTCTACATCATTCTTTTGTTTTGATCCAAGGCTATCGTAGATTCTCAACCCAACTCAAAGGAAACAAGAAATCGAAAGGAGGAATGAGGAGGGACCATACTTAAGTCCAAAAGTACTCTTTATATCTGAAATAAATTCCTTAAGATCACTGGGTGCCTCACTTGAAGCCTCATCTCCTGTCTTCCTGAACTTGCTATTTTCCTCAATGCTGACGAGTCTGGCACCAAACCTGTACTTTGGTGTTAATATAATCAGAGGCTATACACATGCTATCAGATTGAAGAAGCGAAATAAGTGAGCTTACTGTGACCCCTCCACAAAAGGCTCTCCTTCATTCTGGAACTCATTAGTTGTATCTTGCCACCCATCATCAATTATCAAAAACCTTGCTGGAGTGCCTCCTTCTAACAAGCTGAAAGAGAAAGAGAGATGGTGTTGCAAGACAGTTTAAGATAGAATACCAGGAACAAAAAAGAAAAAAGAAAGAATGAAGGCACGTAACATAAGATATAACTGAAATAAAGCAGCTTTTAAAAATGGAAACTTAATTTTCAATGGAAAATCCAGACCAAATAAAGAACAGACATAAACTAAAAAATAATCTAATTAAAGAAGCTATTTAAGATGAAACCTTAGCCAAGTCCAATAGTGATGGTCAATATATAAGGAGTTCCACTTGCACAAAGGTAAATAAACCAAAGATGCTCCCTTTAATATACATCTTACTTGTAAGGGAGATGATTATTCATCAAGAGCATTCCAGGAATTACATCATAGGTGTTATGCCTTGTCCAATTATTGTAATAGCATATGCGCTTCATGCCATAAAACACAGAGAAACACTGAAATTGTGAATTAGTTGTTATAACTCAGCGACCGTGCAATTTTAGGATTTCCAGTCTTGGGGTGAATATGTCTAAGCAATACTGGAGGATGTGAAGGTCAACATTTGCAGAGACTCCTGGTTAAGTTATGTTATGAACAAAGACCACAAGCAAAATAAAATGGAACAAAATAGAAAAATAGAACACAAATTTACGTGGATCAGCTAAAAAGCCTACTCCAAGGGCGAAGTGCAGCAATAGTAAAGTTTCACTATCAATAAAAGGAGATTGCACAAAATTCTCTAAACTAGAGAACATAATCAAACATGGATGCCCAAAACTAGGGGCCAAAATCGCCCAAATTTTGGGGCCAAAAAACCAAAAAAAAAACTGAGTGGTCTATAATCTATTTATAAACCCAAAATACTTTGTCTCCTAATACAATTGAGTTTCTAATTAGTCTTTTACTTGGTAGAATTCTAAGACATCTACTTTTCTAAATCCCTAAAGAGAACAAAATTTAAATCAATTTCCTATTAGGACTGGTTTACAAGACGTCCACAACAAATCTCCACCTTGACTTATATTCCATCAAACAATCAAAATAAAAGCAAATGAACTAGCTGCCTTCTCCACAAATCCCGTGAGGGAATACAAATATCACAAGTATTCATAACAAATGTCCACCTTGACTTGTGTGTCCACCAAGCCATCAAATCAAAAGTGAATTTTCCAACGCTTTCTCCCCAATAGCAAATCTATTGAATCTCTATCAGCGTTGATCATAGTATCTCATAAAGAACTTTTGTCAAACGATTCCTCATAGCAACGTTACGTATCTAGATCTGTCGTACACTAAAATTGTTCTGACCACCAAATTTTTTTACTTCGAATTTTGTTGTAGCCATTTTGAAACCAATAGCTCTGATACTAATTTGTTATGAACAAAGATCACAAGCAAAATAAAACAGAACGAAATAGAAAAATAGAACATAAATTTACGTGGATCGGCTTAAAAGCCTACTTCACGAGCAAAACACAGCAGCAAAGTTTTACTATCAGTAAAGAGAGATTACACAAAATTCTTTAACTCAGAGAATAAAACCAAACATGGATGCCCAAAACTGGGGGCCAAAAACCCAAAAGAAACTGAGTGGTCTATAATCTATTTATAGACTCAACATACTTTGTCTCCTAATACAAAAGGGTTTCTGATTGGTCTTTTATTTGAAGTGGAATTCTAAGACATCTACCTTTCTAAATCCCTAAGGAGAACAAAGTTCAACTTAGCTTCCTATTAGGACTAGAATTCAAGACGCCCACAATAAATCTCTATAGGACACCCATAACAATCTCTACCTTGGCTTGTATTCCATCAAGCAATCAAAACAAAAGCGAACGAACTACCTGCCTTCTCCACAAATCCCATGAGGGAATACAAATATCACAAGCATCCATAAAAACTCTCCACCTTGACTTGTATATCCACCAAGCCATCAAACCAAAAGTGAATTTTCCAACTGCTTTCTCCACAATAGCAAATCTATTGAATCTCCATCAGCGTTGATTATAATATCTCATGAAGTACTTTTGTCAAATGATTCGTCATAGCAACGTCGCATATCTAGATCTTCTATGGAATGAAATTGTTCTGATCACTAAATTTGTCTACTTTGAATTTTATTATAGTAATCTCGAAACCAATAACTCTGATATCAGTTTGTTATAAACAAAAACCACAAGCAAAATAGAATGGAACGAAATAGAAAATTAGAACATAAATTTATGTGGATCTGCTTAAAAGCGTACTTCACGAGCGAAATGCAGAAGCAAAGTTTCACTATTAACAAAGGAAGATTACACAAAATTCTCTACCCTAAAGAATAGAACCAAACATGGATGCCCAAAACTAGGGACCAAAAACCCAAAAGAAATTGAGTAGTCTATAATCTATTTATAGACCCAAAATACTTTGTCTCCTAATACAATAGGGTTTCTAATTGGTCTTTTACTTGAAGTGGAATTCTAGGACATCTACCTTTCGAAATCCCTAAAGAGAACAAAGTTCAAATCAATTTTCTATTAGAATTGGAATACAAGACACCCACAAGAAGTTAGTTAAAAGTTCACAGATAATGATTAGTTTAAAGCGGATGGGCTGCAACTTGGGAAAGCAAGCGTAGGCTTATAAGTACCATGCCCATGGCAGTTATAAAATCATCAAGTATTGGCTTGAATGCCATCTTTATGAATGAAACAAATGTTTACTATGTCGATCATTGTGCAGGATACGGCACTTCGTCTAGAGAAATCAACAAGAAGAAATTCAGATAAAGAAGAGGAAAAGAAATTAAGTTGGTGAAAATTTGAAGAGGGGGCTATATTTACCATTTTAGACCATCTTTGATTCCTTTAGGATTAACTTCTGTATAGAAAGCATCCCAGGTGCACCAACCAAACCAATCTAGCATTCCAGGCATCTGTATCAGGGAAACAAAGGAACTTGTCACTGAAGTACACATCTTTCCAGCAGCAATTCTATATCCCAAGATGGAATTAGATGGCCATATAGATTTTATAGATAGGCTGACTTGCCTGTTTGCTTTCGCGGACTGAAAATGTTCCAATATGCTTCTCCATGATCCTACATATGCCAGAGTGGAAAAAAGTTTGTTACATAAAAAATGTCAACTATTAATTCAGGATACTTCATGTTTGAGTATCCAAGATAGCTTGAGAGTCAAAATCTTATGTGACTCAATTCAAGCCTGTGGCTTGGAACCCGACTGGATTTTAGCTGCCAAACGACAAGGCACTTGCATTGAAGTTCACAAGTTACTCAAGAATATCACTTGAACTAAACTGAACTCAAACTTTGCTCAGAGAGCCACCTACTTCATAGATTCCTTCATCAGATCAAATGGGTTGTTTCCATAATTCACAAAAACTGCTTTTAGAGACTCTGATGCAATTACAGCCGGGTCACCTATAGAATGCATTTGCAACTCATATCATTAGACTAAGTTAAGATAGCTGTATCTGACAGAAAGAAGAGATGAAAAGAAGAATGGTAAGTATGAACAGACTGATCATTACACGCTATATAAATAACAGATATGATTTTGGTGGTTCTTCATTCTAAGGTTCACCAAGCACAAGAGCTGAATTTTCACTGACGCCGTTTGGCTTTTGGAGATAGGAAGATGTCAAGCAATAAAGAAGGTGTTTCTTCCTAGAGAACTTCTCATCGAGGGGATTATAAAGTTGTAATCCACACTGGTCTATCCCGCGAATAATGGAGTACGTTTACTGGATCAGGAAAGAAATTTTGCACACTGATTAATGTGTGTGTGTGTGTTTTGATCTGCACCATCTATGTGTGTTCACTTCTTATCTCTGTTTTGATCTGTACCAACCTTGTGTGTTCACTTCTAATACTGATTCATAGAGTGCAAAGCCTGTACGCGAAACAATTGAACCATGTCTGAGAGATTCTCACCACTTTCAATACAAACTTCTAGCTCATCAGCTGAGTTTCCCTGCAAACTGCTTCTAAATTCACCGTCTAACGTAGGCAAGAAAATGACATAGGATGGAGATCCTTTAGAGTCATTAGAACTTGAATCTTCCTTTGCTTCCAGCAGCAACATCTGAGTTTCAATGGGGATGTCACTTGCTGAATTTCCCACACGAGGTATCATCCACCAAATTTTAAATCTAAATAAGCACAACAATCTGGCATCCCTGCATAAAGCACACACGTCATAAACTTAAAAACAGGAGGCAGATAAGAACAGTTTCTAACCAATTGTTGCATTTAGTCCTGGATCTTCTTGATTACCAAAATTGATTGGTATTAATTAACTGCCAGAACAATACATTCTGAAATAGCTTGAAGTCAATTATAGGCCGAAAAGGTAGATATTAGGAACGTGAATTTCTCGTAAACCCTTGAATGAAGAGCAAACAAATTCGTATTGGATAGGAAAATTCATCCAGTCGGATTTTCCTGATTAAAGGGAGACCGGAGCAAGGACAACCTCTACGGCCATAGCCTTCATTTGATGTCCAAATAAATTGTTGCATTGCCAAGCAACTCAGGTTATCTTATTTTGAAAAGAATATTAAATTTTTAACGAAGTTATTATGCACCTGACATGAAAATTTTGTCTTGGAAGTTAATTAGACAAAGGTAGTATTCATCTACAGAGTGCATTCACAGAGGCGGGAAGTTGAATGATGGGAAGAGGAAAGAAAGAAGAAGAATGGTGCTTACTGTATAAGACCAAGCTTGAAAACTTGCCGGGAACTGCTGTGGGCGGAAGTGGCACCGAGGAATAGCGAAGAGTTTGACCATGGTGTCATGACAACATTATCTGGTATTCCTGTCAGCGCATTGGTTCCATTGAAACTGAGAACCCCATCTTTGACGACAGGTTTGGACTTGAGAAACATAGAATGTCTCCATGCCTTGTGGGGTGTTTGCAGAGACAGAGATCCATGTGAGAATAACCTCTGGCCGGACACTAAAAAGGGGGAGAAACGGACATTGAGTTGCATCCGAGGTGGAGATGTCACCAAGGTGGTCATGGCAACTTCTGATGGATGAATGTCTTCTCAGTCTCAGTCTCAGATTCGAAAAACCGTTACAAGAACAATGAACCAACCAACCAACATAACAGTAACAGTATTAATTATTAGGAAATGGAAAATAGAAGAACCCACCCGCCCGCCGCAAGGACTGTCTGAGGAATGGAATGGAAGTGTGGCCGCTTGAGTAGATTCCCAAAAGATAACAATAAGGGCCTAGAGGGGATAGAACAGTTACATATATGATCAGCGTTGGTTTGGTGACCACATTTACTTTTGGGATTTTCACTTGTCATCCTCATCATCTACACCTACAATACTAAGTTGTCCTCTCATTTTTCTAGGACAAATCTGCCCCAGAACATCACCCCATTTTTTTTTTTTTTTTTGTGGTTTTGGCCCACAATCACAAAAAGACATTTTTTGATTGAACTAGGTTATTCTTCTGCAACAAAGAGTTTAGAAAAGCGCTTTGTGATGGGAGTATCTTGTGAGAAGAATTTCATAAATAAATTTTAAGACGTGGCTCTGATTTCACCAATCAACCAACCACATGGTTTGAAATAGCTCTTGTTCTCAACTTCGGCACCAAAGTTAAAAACGTTTGAAATTTCACTTAACAACAACTACATGGTTTCACAGGCAACATTTAACAAAATCATGCATTTTATTAAATGGAAGTCCAGAAACGGCCACAATTTCCTAAGCTTCCTCCCAGGTTTCAGTGTATATATAGCGTGATTACTCTCTAAACTGGCCTTCTGTAAAAATTCGAAAAAAAAAAATATTATTATTATTATTATTAAAAATATTAATTAAAGGAGTAAAATAATAATTAATTGTAAATATAAGAATCAAAAACATAAATTTTTAAACTATATGTATATATATATATATATACACAAGTGTGAAAGGCTTTAGTCTTTCAAATTTTCTTCCCCTAGCCGGCTGCCGAGTGAGTGAGAAAGAGAAAAAAGTTTTTTTTTTTCTTCTTCATATCTACGAAAATTGAACTGTTTAGTCGTTTCGGGTTAAGAATTAAAGTTGCTCTACTCAACAAGAGCTATACAACCACACCAAATATCGTATTTTTCCCCGAAAGAATATCAAAGACGATAATCTAGGCCTAAAGTTTGGGAAGTTAAATTGGGCTTCCTCGGAGTTTCAGTACGTGGGCTCACGCTACGAGAGGTAAGGTTTCTCCTATTTAGATTTACTTTCAACCTAAAATATAGCATATGAAATAAGTAGGCTATGGGTGTATATCACATATTAAGTCTTGACTAGTGTAATTAATAGGTCAAATATATGATTTATAATTAATTTTGTAATTAGAAAAATCCTATTACGATTAACTTGGTGTAAATTAATATTAGTGGTTTAAAGCATGTTAATTGTATATTAGTTATGTGTTAAATGACATATCAAGTTTAATAAAATTATTAGCTTGTTATATAATTATGGAATAATATGTATGTTAAATGATTATTTAGCATATAATTATGGAATAATATGTATGTTAAATGATTATTTAGCATATAATTATTGTGGTGGACTTGTGTTTATGTTTATAGAATTGAAAAACATGTTGTCATTTTGAAAAAAGTCATTATATTGTATTCTCTATGTAATGGACATTGTAAATGGTATCAAAGGCAATTGCACATTGAAATGTCATTATCCATGAGTTATATTATATTCATGGGCATTGACATAGGTGGGAGTGTGTGCATGGGATGAAATCAATCACCACATAGGTGATTGATTATGGGTTCGAAAAAGTTACACCAAGGTCCGGTTGAGGCGCACAAAAAATTAAATGGATAAACGTGTCGAGGATAGCAAGAAGGACTAAATTCTCTTTCGGATGTAAGACCCACTTACTTGGTTTATACACTTTTCGGCGGTGAAATTCCAAAAAAGTGTAACGGCCAAAACGAAGCCGCAGGTGGGATGTCCTGAGAATCTGTTGATGGTTGGTGTCTTATTGGTGTAATAACATAAATCATCTCCCCACAAAGATACAAGAAAATGAATTAATTAGTAATTGAATGTATACAACTCCAATAACGGGGGCTTGGAATGCTCTGATACATACGCATGACATTACATGTGTTGTAGAAACTCAGGATGGGGCTCGGTGTTGGTATTATTTTCGTGAGTCTCATCTCATGACATGACATGATTTATGACATTTGTTCATAATAGACATACTTAAATGATTGCATGAAATAATTGTTGTATGTGACATTTCATATGCATTTAGGTTGAGAGGTATTATCTATAGGAGTTACCCTATTGAGCGTTGGCTCACCCTTTATCGGGACATTTTTTAGGTATTGCATAGGCGTCCACCAAAGGTGAGGTCATGGCCCCGCGTTGACGACAGAGCCTGTTTGTGGCTCTTCTTTGACATCGTAATCCCTTATTTATAATTACTTTTGGCCTTGTGTAATTTTTGTAACAAAAATTTGTTTATATTTAAAAGGCATGTATAAGGGACTCTTTTGAGACATTTATTCTTTTATGGATGAATGTACGTAATGATGATGATTATAGTAGTATTCGATACTATACAATTATGAATAGATGGATAGACCCGGTGTGGTCAATGTTGTACAAGTTGCGTTTTGAGTAGAGCTCCTCGTACAAAGGAGACTCTGCCCAAATTTTGTTAAGTTATGGATCTCAATAAATGGGACATAACGGTGTGGTATCGAATTACATGGTATTCATGGGTATTTCGCGGGTTGATAGGTGATTAATCGGGTAATTACTAACACCTGAATTTTGGGGTGTCACAGCTTGGTATCATAGCCTCGGTTCTCGATTTACCTAGGACTTATGAGGCATGGGTCTAGGCCATTGCATCCATTTTGCATTGCATGTTAAATGTATTAAATGTTACATGATATGTGTTATGAGATTATATGCATGATTAAATGTACATAGGAATGAGACACTACGGTTAGAAAACATAACCTTAGAGTCGGGAAGGAAAAAGACATGTACGCATACTGTTTGGACATCTATCGGTAGATATATATATTCTACGGTTTTAATTTTTGATTCCTAACTTTGGGATACTAAGTTATTGGTTTATTGATATCTTATGTGTGTGTAGATGGCAACTAGAGGAAGGGGACGTCGAGGTGGACGGAACAACCAACCACCACCACCGACTTTTGATCAACAAGCCTTTATGGAGGCTATGGGTATGATGACTGCCACCTTTTTGCAAGCTAGTGCGAATGTGGGCCATGGAGGCTCGAACAACCTCCAAAAGTTTAGGTCCCACAACCCACCAACTTTTATAGAAAGAGGGGATCCGATGGTAGCTAACAATTGGTTTCAACATGTGGACAAAGTTTTAGAGGCAGTGGAGATTGCATCCGACGCCACTAAGATATGGTTGGCCACTTTTCAGTTTGAGGGAGAATCCCATCAATGGTGGACATGGGCAAAGCCGATAGACATGGGGGGGATGACATGGGGAGAGTTTCAAGAGCTCTTCATGAATAAGTATTTTCCACCAACTGTTCGAGAAGTCAAAGCCCAAGAATTTCTAAACTTGAAGTAAGGAATGATGACGGTTATGTAGTACATGGCCAAGTTCACAAAATTGACACGTTTTGTGGGTGACTATGTGGCCACGAATTTGGCCAAGGTGCGGAGGTTTGAGAATGGCCTAAAGCTATCCATCCGTGAGAAGATTGTTGGCCACAGGTTGCACGACTTGGATGAGATGGTCGAGACAGCCATGGCTATAAAGAGAGAGGTGGAAGACATCAAGAGTATTCGAGAGGCCAGATCAAAGGATAGTAAGAATGAGGGACAGTCCTCCACTACTAGCTCGGGAAAAAGGCAGAGGATTTCTACCCAATAGGGATAGGGCCAAGGCCAAGGCCATGGTCAATCTTTCCAAGGTGGGAGGAATTCTAGGGGCACACAACAAGGAGGCCCATGGACATGTTACTATTGCCACCAGTCAGACCACTTGAAAAGAGAGTGTCCTCAGAGACAAGGATCTCAAAGCTACGGGGCATCTCAGTCCCAGTCATCAGTGGAGCATTCACAGACCTACTTCATTCCTCCCTATCTCACCAAGGGCCAAAAAAATCAGTTCCAGTTTCAAAGTGTAGCACAGGCCCCTACCACTTCACAAACGGGGACTCTGCAGTCAGGCCAAATGGTCCAGGGCATGGGCCGAGGCCGGGATCAAGGCTTTCCGGCAGGGCCTTCAGGGACCCAAGGGCGAGTCTTTGCCATCACACCACAGACTTTATCGGTAAATCAGTCAATAATTCAAGGTATATTTCTTCTCTCTAGATTATAGACTAGAGTATTATTTGATTCTGGTGCATCACATTCTTTTATTACTATATCATGCCTACGAGACTTGGGCTTAGAGGTCGAGACTCTAGAGGAGCCCATGTATGTGAGTTCACCCCTAGGAGACAGAGTTTGTATTGATAAGATATGTCGGAGTTGTGAGTTGGAGATCGAAGGAACCCTACGTACCATTGATCTTAAGGTTATCGAGATAACGAAGTTTGATGTCATACTCGGGATGGATTGGTTGGCGGCACATAAGGTCGTCATTGATTGTGAACGCAAAAGGGTTGTAGTCTACATTTTAGACGGGGTTTATTTCAAGTTTCAGGGGAAGAAGCACAATACTTCACCCCATGCCGTATATGACTCCCGATGGCACGGATAGTTGATAGATTGACTTGCTAGCCTTACACTGGAGGACGAGATGGGACATGAGTTAGGTCTGCCTCTAGTCGTGTGTGACTATGCAAACGTTTTCCCATATGAGTTACCGCGATTGCCACCGCATTGGGATGTAGACTTTACCATAGAGTTATAGCCCAATGCGTCCCTTATTTCTATGACACCACATAGGATGACACTAGCAGAGTTGCAGGAGCTTAAAGTCCAGTTACAAGAGTTATTGGACAGAGGCTTTATTAGGTCGAGTACTTTATCTTGGGGTGCTCCGGTTCTATTTGCCAAAAAGAAAGACAGAACTCTTAGGCTCTGCATTGACTACCGGAAGTTGAACAGGGTCACTATCAAGAATAGGTACCCTTTGTCGCGTATTGATGACTTGTTTGACCAGTTGAGAGGGGCACAGGTCTACTCCAAGATAGATCTGCGCACGGGGTACCCGTGGATACCATGTAATTCGATACCATATTGTTATGTCTCATTTATCGAGATTCATAATTTAACAAAATTTGGGCAGAGTCTCCTTTGTACGAGGAGCTCTACCCAAAACGCAACATGTACAACATTGACCACATCGGATCTA